CTATGCTGTGTAGCACAGCCTTAACCACTTGCCTACCAGGCACTTATACCCCCTTATTTACCAGGCCAATTTTCAGCTTTCAGCGCTGCCGCACTTTGACAATTGCGCGGTCATGCAACATTGTACCCATATGAAATTTTGATCATTTTTTTCTCACAAATAGAGCTTTCTTTTGGTGGTATTTAATCGCCACTGGGCGCTTTACTTTTTGCGCTCTAAATAAAAAAATAATTAATTTTCTCCTTCACTGATGTGCGTTGATGAGGCAGCACTGATGGGCACTGATAGGCGGCACTGATGGGCACTGATAGGCAGCACTAAAGGGCACTGATAGGCAGTACTAATGAGGAGGCACGGATAGGCGGCACTGATAGACAGCACTAATGAGGTGTCACGGATAGGCGGCACTGATAGGTGACACTGATGATGGGTACTGATAGACGGCACTGACTGGCATCACTGCTGGGCACTGACTGGCACAACCGCTGGACACTGGTGGCACTGACTGGCAGCACTGCTGGGCTGCACTGGTGGGTAGCACTGGTGTGCACAGGTAGGGTGGGCACAGGTGGGTGGCACTGCTGGGCACAGGTGTGTGACACTGCAGAGTGGCACAGGTGTGTGACACTGCAGAGTGGCACAGGTGGGTGCACTGCTGGGCACAGGTGGGTGGGAGGTCTGATCTGCTGGGCACAGGTGGGCGGAGCTAGTGGGCGCATTGCTGGGCACAGGTGGGGGGACTTGCGGGTGCCACTGCTGGGCACCGATCATCAGGACACTGATCATCAGTGCCCTGATGATCGGTGCCGATCCTCGCTTTGACAACTGCCGGTTCTCGGCAGTACTTTCCTCACGATCTGACAGCGTGAGGAAAGTGCAGCCGAGAACCGGCACTTGCATTTCCCTCTGATCAGCGTGTCATTGGACACCGCTGATCACGTGGTAAAAGGCCGCTGTGATTGGCCTTTTACCACATCACGTGATCAGCTGTGTCCGTAGGACACAGCGATCACGGAGATCGCCGGGTGCGCGCCCCTTGGGGCGCGCAGGAGAGCGCGTTCTGGGAGGACGTCATATGACGCCCACTCAGAACTGGCCGGCCGCAGTGCAGCCGTCATTCGGCTATCTGCGGTCGGCAACAAGTTAAAGGATAAGTTCACCTTTCATAACATGTTATCAACAGACTGCCCCCCTCCCTTTTTGACAGCTAGTGGAGGATCTTCTCCTTCCGCTAGCTGTCACAATTTAAAAAACACAGTATTCAATGAATGAAAAAACAAGTCCTGACAGCCTTTGCGGTTGTCGGCTTATAGTTCTCAATGAACTACCATGGCACTGTGGAACGCTGTGGTAGTTTGACTCTTCCTGTCAGAATGTATCTGCTTGCCCATACAATGTATGGGCACACAGATACACTGGCAGGAGACCGGCATAGCACCAGCAATCTGCTGATCACTGTTGCAATGCTTTGGAGGCTTCAGAAACACAAAATAGTAATTGCACATTTTTTTTACCTGTTAAATGTTCATTAATTATTTTTGTTAAAAGGTGAAGTTATCCTTTAAAGTTGAACTCCAGGTAAACAGCTAAAAATATATACAAAAGCCATATATGCTGGCTGCTTAACTAAAGAAAAGAATTTATATTTCTGTCCTATCCTGAGAATTACACAGCCTGGTCTGATAGCATAGGTAGCCTACTTTGTCTGTACTTCAGATAACTAACACAGGTTTTGTCCCTCCTCCAGCTAGTGACTGTACTATGAAAGAAGAAGCAGCAGACCACTGAGATCAACTCTCTCTCCTCTCTCCCCATTATAACATGCTCCTGCAATCTGTAGGGTGTTTCATCCATGCCATTTGTTCCTGTTTTATCCTATGAACAAAAACATACCCCTTTCTAATGACACTGTTCCTTCCTATGCAGGATTCCCCCTCTCCCAGTCTGAGCTATGCTGAGACCAGCGGCTAATTCCAGGACACATTCCGTTACTTACACTGTTTGCAGCTAATGATATATTAATGAATACAGAAGCACATTAATCTGTGTCTTTTATATCTGCCCAAAGTTTAGCTTTAAGAGATAGTTATCACTTGTTCATTATCTGCCATCACCAGTAATCAATGGGAAGGATATTTTCACATTAGCTCATTCAAGTCTTCACAATGCTCTCACATTATACAATGATACATCAGAACACTTTAGAACAGTAAAGACCTTTAATTAATTTAATCATCCACTTTATTAGTGTCAAATTAGAAGCTGATAAAAGCAAGGCGAAACAAAAAAAAACACAAAAACAAGATTAAAAAAAAATGTGTTTTGTTGCCAACTTTTCCAAGCATTATTCAAATGAAACTCCATGACAAAACAATAATTGGTAATTAAGATAAAAGTGGTATCTCACCAGACACCGCAATAATACTGATTAACCATAGATCAAGGGTTGTCCTCTGTAGGCCCCTCACTTTATTTCCCCTCTAATTTAATTATTTCTACTTTGACAGCCGTGTGTTCATCGAGTAGATCTTTAACTAGCTGTTATTCTGGTGACTGGTCCCCTAATTGTACTGTTGTCAGGATCAATAATTCATGATCATCTGTTGAAGCTAATGAGTTTGTCCAATTACAGAATGTGAATGTCGGTGGGTATAAGCGCAGTGTGAAGGGCTGAGCTAATTTAGATGATTGCAGGGCAAAGGTGTGGCTGCAATCTATAAGCTAATTCAATATATTCCTTAGATAATGATATTGGAGATGTGGAGGTAATCTCTGACGAGTGCCACCTACCGCGTAAAGGTTAATTTACTACTATACTTTCAAATATATGTATTTATTTGCCACGTTAGTTTTTTCTTGTCTGTAAAACAAAGTAAGATTTGTCATTAAATTATATACTGTATGTATGTACAGTTGTGTTCAAAATAATAGCAGTGTGTTGAAAAAAGTGAATAAAGCTCTCAAAATCCTTCTAATAGCTTTTATTTCCATACACACAAATGCATTGGGAAACACTACACATTCTATTCCAAATCAAAACATGAAGAAAAATATATCAAGTTTGTGTTGTTCCTCTAAAAAAATTGAAGAAAAGTGAATATTAGACTGTTCAAAAAAAATAGCAGTGTTTGTATTCTTCTTTACAAACTCAAACATTCACTATATAAACTGAAAAATGTTTGAAGATTTTGCTTTCCTTTGAATCACTTAATGAATATTTAGTTGTATAAGCACTGTTTCTGAGAACTGCTGTACATCTGTGTTGCATGGAGTCAACCAACTTCTGGCACCTGTGAACAGGTATTCCAGCCCCGGATGATTGGACTACATTCCACAGTTCTTCCTATTTCTTGGTTTTGCCTCAGAAACTGCATTTTTGATGTCACCCCACAAGTTTTCTATTGGATTAAGATCCGGGGATTGGGCTGGCCACTCCATAATGTCAATCTTGTTGGTCTGGAAACCAAGATGTTGCACGTTTACTGGTGTGTTTGGGGTCGTGGTCTTGTTGGAACACCCATTTCAAGGGCATTTCCTCTTCAGCATAAGGCAACATGACCTCTTCAAGTATTCTGATGTATTCAAACTGATCCATGATCCCTGGTATGCGATAAATAGGCCCAACACCGTAGTATGAGAAACATCCCCATATCATGATGCTTGCGCAACCATGCTTCACTGTCTTCACAGTGTACTGTGGCTTGAATTCAGTGTTTGGGGGTCTGACAAACTGTCTCCGGCCACTAGACCCAAAAAGAACACTCTTACTTTCATCAGTCCACAAAATGTTGTGCCATTTCTCTTTAGGCCAGTCGATGTGCTCTTTGGCAAATTGTAACCTCTTCAGCACGTCTTTTTTTTCAACAGTGGGACTTTGCGGGGGCTTCTTGCAGATAGCTTGGCTTCACATAGGCATCTTCTAATTGTAACAGTACTCACAGGGAACTTTACACCTTCTTTGATCTTCCTGGAGCTGATTGTTGGCTGAGTCCTTGCCATTTTGGCTATTCTTCTATCCATTCGAATGGTAGTTTTTCGATTTCTTCCACGTCTTTCAGGTTTTGGTTGCCATTTTAAAGCATTTGCGATCATTTTAGCTGAGCAGCCTATCATTTTCTGCACTTCTTTATATGTTTTCCCCTCTCCAATCAACTTTTTAATCAATGTACACTGTTCTTCTGAACAATGTTTGGAACGACCCATTTTCCTCAGAATTTCAGAGAGAAACGCACAGTAACCAGCATGTACAACATTTGCTGCCTTCCTTCCTTAAATAAGGGCAATAATTGCCACCTGTTTTTCAAAGAATGAATGACCTCACTAATAGAACTCCACACTGCTTTTATTTTGAACATGCCCCTTTCAATGAGTGATTGAATTACACAGAATCAGCAGCATGCATGTGTTGGGTCTGTTGGATTTCTATTACTCTACTACACCTGCTAGTACATTATCTGCCATGTAGAAATATCATTTCTACCAAAAACAGTGATTGATCAGGTTAGTGATGTCTGACTGCTATTATTTTGAACACAACTGTGTGTGTGTATATATATATATGTATGTGTGTGTGTGTGTTCAGAAAGCCAGTCTGCTTACCTCTTATTTGTCTGTTTTACATCATAACATGCACTTTTTGAATGCATGTTTGCTTTTTACACACACATACACATATGTCAAAGTATGCAAACACAACTGTGCAAGGCTAGAAGAACAATATGTGGACTCGTTGTTTAAAGCTGAACACCAGGCAAGCAGGTAAATAAACAGACAAACTACATATATTAACCACCTTCCGCCCGCCCTATAGTACAATGATGGGCGCAAGGTGGTTCTCTCGTTCTGATAGGACGTCATATGACATCCTCCCATTCTCACTGTGCATGCGTGGCTCAGGGAGCGCTCAGTGCGGCGATTGCCGGTGCGCTGTGTCCCTCGGACACAGCAGATCACAGAAAGAGCCGAAGATGTCGGCTCGGTCATGTGATCAGCTGTGTCCAATCACAGCTGATCACATGTAAACACGGAAATGCCGGTTAACGGCATTTCTCTCCTCTCGAGCTGTCACGCTGACAGCTCGAGAGGAGAGACGGTAATCGGCTTTCCATGGAGGGGACATGTACACTGATCAGGGCACTGATGATCAGTGTGCCCTGATGCTCAGTGTGGCTCCAGAAGTGCCACGTGCCAGTGCCACATATCAGTGCATACCAGTGCACATCAATGCCACATATCAGTGCCCATCTGAGCTGCCTTTCAATGTCACCCATCAGTGCCACCTATCAATCAGTGTCATGTATCAGTGTCATGTATCAGTGCTGCCTTTCAGTGCCCATCAGTGATGCCTATCAGTGCAACCTACCAGTTCCTCCTCATTAGTGCCACCTATCAGTGTCCATCAGTGCCCATCACCGCAGCCTCATTAGCGCACATCAGTGAAGGAGAAAAATCACATTTACAAAATTGTATAACAAAAACTAAGAAAAAATGTTTTTTTTTTCAAAATTTTCAGTGGTTTTGTTTGTTTAAGAAAAAATAAAAATCCCAGAGGTGATTAAATACCACCAAAATAAAGCTCTATCTGTCTCAAAAAAATGCTAAAAATTTCATATGGGTACAGTGTTGCATGACCGCGCAATTGTCATTCAAAGTGTGACAGCGCTGAAAGCTGGAAATTGGCCTGGGCAGGAAGGAGGTATAAGTGCCCTGTAGGCTAGTGGTTAAAACAGTTTTATCTGCCAAAATATTTTCATTTCTGTCCATCCAGTCCTGAGATTTACACAGCTCTACCAGTAGACACAAATCCAACACCTCCTGCACTCAGGGACCCAGATCAGAGGAAGGCCGATCGGACAGTATATGATTAGAAATTGGAAAGTTCATCCAACACTGATCAAAGGTTGTGCGGCTTTAGCATGAAGCTGGGGAAGGTTGATACGGACTGTGGTAGAGAACAAAAACAGAGTGTACCAAACTTGCGTATTACCTCAGTAGGCAATAAATACATTTATTAATAAAGAGATATACTCGCAAGAGCAGCAATATAAAAGGAATATGACATTCAAGTACGAAACATTGGGTTAGGAGACACGTGCAAATCCCATCAAGGGGAAAGAGACTCTCAGGGTCAAGCTGACGCATTTTAAAGGGGGGAGGAAGAAGGGACCCCCCCCCTTCGAAATGCGTCAGCTCCTTATCCCAGTGTTTCGTACTTGGATGTTATATGCCTTTTATATTGCTACTCTTGTGAGTATATCTCTTTATTAATAAATTTATTGCCTACTGAGGTAATGCGCAAGGTTGGTGCGCTGTTTTTGTTCTCTACCGCATTTACACAGCTCTACTACACAGCACAGCCCTGTGTGGCTTTTTTTTTTTTTTTTGCAGCAGTTGAAATGGTTTTAATTGGAGAAAGTTTTTTTTTTTTTTTTGTTACCTTAATACATTCTATGCGTTAAGGGAAAAAAAACCTTCTGGGTGCAGCCCTGCCACAGCCCCTTCTCCCTTATACTTACCTGAACCCCATCTTGATCCAGTGATGGGCATACGAGCAGGGCCTGTCTCTCCTCATTGGAATCACAAAGTGGTTAAAACCATATTGAACCAAAACCAAAAATTTAATTTGATGAAGCTTACCAATCCTTAGATGTGGTAGCTGTGTTAGGTTTCTCTTTTTTAGGCTTGTTTTCACCTGATGGTCTGTCCAGTAACACACCTCCTGTATTAGAGTGCCTACACTCTGGATGAAGGAACACGGGGGAGGGGGGCAGACAGCAGCATTGTCAGTCTTGGGGGTACTATAGTGTTAAATGTACTAGCAGATTTAGATAAACTAACAAATTGAAGCCAAAATCCAGCTCACGCTTTATAATTAGTTACAACAAAGTTTCTTCTTCTTGGGATAAAAGTTTTACCTGAACAAATAAAAGCTGATCATTGTAATCACCACTGTCAGTGTTAAATGGTTTATCTAATCTCTGTAAACTGATATATCTGAAAGAGAGCTTATTCCTTTGAAAAAACAATAGACTTACTAGTTGGATCACCAGATGAAAATAGAAGAAATAAGTCCTTGAAAGAAAACAAATGCAGCCATCACATCTAAGAATTGGTAAGCTGCAGTATCATAAATATTTGCTTTTGGGTCTAATATTGCTTTAATACTTCTGGGTTTAACAGAAATTGTCGATCCCTCTATCTGTGGAAAATATAATTAAATTAGTTGAAAAGATATTAGAGAAACAAAGGACATACTGATTTTTTTTAATGTGAGAAAGCTATTTTAAAAAATATATTCCTCAATAGCCAAAAACAGTATAAATTCACTTTCTGTGTAACTGAAACTAGTGAAAGTAGTAGTGACATCATCACTGTACTGTACTTAGCCTGTGCAGGGAGCAGCATTGTGGGAAGAAGCCAGCAGGTCCTCCTACTACAGGCTACCTGCAGAAAACTACAAGGGGTGCATACAAGACCAGTCACCCTGCAAAAGGAAGGATGACAGCAATGACTGGTCTTTATTACAGGAACCTACTGCACAGAGGCAAAGTGAAGGAGCTGTTTCATGTTGGTTTAGTGCACAGATCTGGAAGAAATGCACTAAGGATACCAAAACCAAGTAAGAATACACATTCTGTTTAGACACTGAGGCACTGGCCTGGAACAGGAGTGCAGATCAAGAAAGTCAGAAGCCATTTTCTGAATGTGTGCTGTGTTAGTGATGTAATGTCTTGAAGGGTACTTTGGGTTCCTGCATTCCATACCCCATCATTGCTTTCTGCATTGCTGTTTTAAAGGTCTACACAGGGCAATTTTTTATGCCCCTAAAAAAAAATAAAGAATAAAAGTAGTTCTGGCTGCAATACTCACTTTCAATCCAAAGCTGTCCCCCAGAGAACCTTTTGTTCGTATGTCCTCAGTATTCCAGTTGAATGAAATTCATTGTTATTCAAACCATGTAGACTAAAGAGAAACTTTGAGGGAAGAGTGTCAACGCCATGACCCTTGGGTACACCACCCTGCCCTCAAAGTGTCTTGATGTCATCACGTCAGCGCCACTTTTTTGCATCATTCAGAGCCACTGGTGGGGGAATGGGGCAAGGAGCCCAGGGTTCGTCTTTAAGTAAATGTGATGAAATAAAGATATTATTTTTTATTGTTCAATATTTTTATTGAGAAACAAGCAAACAATAGCATAAAACGAGATGGCAATAAAGTCCACCCACATGGCGGAACAACATATAGAACACGATCAGCTCACATATAGGCACGCAAATAAAAGTGTCTAACAATGGCTATAGTGATATACCTAGAGAGTGACAGTACCATCAAGATATTCAAGTTTCAGCAATCAATAAAGAAGAAAGGGAGAAAAGAAAGAGGAAACAACTCTTAAGGGAAAAGGGGGGGGGGGGGTCAGCTGTAAGACTTTCAAAGATATAGAAATATAACTGATCCAAGGCTCCCAAGTTCCCTCAAATCTGGACACATCGTTATTGACAATACTTGTAAGTTTACTGTTCAGCATTATCCAATTAAGTTTTCATTTTACCCAGTCTAACGGGATCAAAGATTGTTTCCAACTTCTAGCTATGGTAATACGAGCCGCCAGCAAGAGGTATAGAATTAGTTTAGACGATTTTTTGGGAACGTGAGCGGGTAGTATATGAAACAAGGCCACTTCCGGTGATCTACGGATATTAATTCCTGTTACTGAATATATAAAATTAAACATGCGGATCCAGAACCTACTCACTACTGGACATTTCCACCAAACGTGGAACATTGTACCCTCCTGACCACAGCGTCGGAAACAGCTAGATGATACTGAGGGGTACATCTTGGCTAGGCGAGTAGGAACCAAATACCAGTGAAGTAGCATTTTATAATTGGATTCAATAAGATCAGTGTTAATCGAGATCTTTGATAAAGTATGAGCCGCATTTCGCCATGCATCTAAATCTAATGAACTATTTAAATCCCCCTCCCATTGGGTCATGTAGGATAATTTATTGAGGGGATCAACAATGGATGCATATATAATGGATAAACGACCTCGCATCATCCCACTAGCCCCACAGGAGACCTCAAGGGAAGTAAGCGCACAAGGTTCTGGGAGTAATCTAAGTTTGCTAGTGATAAAAGATCGAAGTTGGCGATAACGAAATATCTCTCCGAGAGGCATCTGGTATTTTGTCAAAAAATTTTGAAGGGGACCGAGGGCGAAACCCATCTAAATAGTCTCTGATATGCAACAAACCCTTATTCAACCACCATTGGAACACCGACGGAGATAGACCCGGAGCAAACTCAGGATTACCAAATACTGGAGCTAATGGGGTATGTGGAGAGGAGAAAGGTTTATGCGCTCGCCATCTATCCCACACCGATAATGAATAAGATAGAGTAGGGCACAAAATAGGAGGATGCAATCCACTGGGAAGCCATATGAGAGTATTGATAGCATATGGATGGCACGATAGAGCCTCAATCCCAACCCACTGGGGGACATATCCCCTGGCCGTAGTACACGATAACTGTGCTATTTGAGCTGCCTGAAAGTAGGCCAAGAGATTGTGGAGTCCCAAACCGCCATGCCTCTTCAAGGAGAATAAGGTAGACTTGTTAATCCTAGGGCGTTTTCCCCTCCATATATAAATCTAGAGACTGCAGTTTGCAGTAATAACAGTTCCCGGTTGGGGACCATGATTGGTAACGTCCGGAAATAGTACAATAGTCTCGGTAAAAAGGTAATTTTAATAGAGTTGATTCTACCAAACCAGGAAAGTGGAAGATCCTGCCAGTCTAGTAATTCCTTTTTAAGTCGTTTGAAAAGCGGGAGATAGTTGGTCTTGTATAACTTCGAGATAGATTTCGTGAGATGAATCCCTAGATAGGGGAGAGAACAAGAGGCCCACTGAAAATCAAAATTTTCCTGGAGGAAATGAACCCTCCGAATCAGGTAACGAGATATTTAGGGCAACCGTTTTAGACGAGTTAAGCGTAAGACCAGAGGCCTCAGAAAACCGATGAAACAAATGGAAGAATCCAGGTAGAGACGTTCAAGGATCAGATATATACATGAGAACATCATCAGCGAATAAGGCGCATTTATGATCTCGTTGACCACAGTAGACGCCCGAGATAGTGGGATCAGCGCGGATAACAATCGCAAGTGGTTCCATTGCCAAAGCAAACAATAATGGAGAAAGAGGACATCCCTGTCTAGTTCCTCATTCTATCGAAAAAGGGGCTGATTTATATCCACGAATGGAAACTTGAGCGGACGGATTAGATCATAAGGCCCGTAACAGCTTTGTAAAATGAGGGCCAAACCCAAACTTGTCTAACGTCTGAAACAAGTAATCCCAAGACAGACTGTCAAACGCTTTCTG